ATTTAAAAGCAATAAAATAAATGAAAACATTTAAAATAAATGACTAAATTATAGTAAAAGTAAAATTAAAAACCTAATTCATAATTAATCAAAATTATAGGGATTAAACATGATATTTCTTTATTTTATTTATTTAGTGATTAAAATAAAATTATTTAAAATTCGAATATAAGATTAAAAATATAAACTAGGGATTAAAATATTATTTATTAAAATTAAGGGATTAAATCTGTTATTTATCCTAAATATATTATTTTAATATAAAGGACTAAAATAAATGAAATTAAAATTAAAGATCTGAATTAAAAGTATTATAAACTCGATTTAGTGACTAGAATGTAAAAATTACAAGTTGGAATGGCTTCGGACGGGGTTTACCCTTTGTGAAATTACAGAAATACCCTCCCCAAAACGACGTCGTTTGGGAGAGGGTATTTATACCCTAAGCCGGCTGGCCCTACGGGCCAGCTTCTCATTTCCTTATTTCTGTTCTCTCTCTAACAGAGAGAGAACAAATTTCTCTCTGCCTTCTCTCTAGCTTCCCTCATCGGAGGGAAGCCGGTCACCGGACGGCAACCGTCTGCCGCCGTGATCGTCACCGCCGGCCACCGCATCTGGTGGCCGGAAAATTTTATTTTTACACCGTTAATAGATCGGACCGTCCTAAGGGCGTTTCCGGTGCTCTTTTTCCTTAAAAAGCTCCTAATTGGAGCAAATCTACAAAAGTACCTTCGGTTTTCGTTGTATCCGGCGACGGTTGGGGTTCTCCGATGACAGAGTAAGTTTCTCTTCTTTCTTTTTCTTTTCTTTCTTTTCTGTTTCTTTGTTGTGTTGTTGTTGAGATCGTTGGTAGTTTTTTTAGTATCTTTTTTCTCTGTTTTTCTCTCTGTCTCTCTGTTGTTCTCTGTCTCTCTCCGGTTTTTTTTCTTGTTCGCAGATGGGGTGATGGTTTTATAACCATCACCGGTGTAGCCATCGGACCGGTCTGAAGGGTGAAAATTTCGGTGAGTCACCAAAGCTATGCTGGTGACTCACCATAGAAGCGACGTGGACGGTCGGGGTTGTGGCAGCAGAGCTTCTGGAGGCTTCTTCAAGGTGGCTTCGTGGCATTGGTGGAGCGTAGGCAACGAACGTGTGGCCTTCTGGAACCAACGGCGGTGGCTGAGGACTTCAGAGGCGGCTGGAAACCCTTGAGGCGGTGGCGCATAGGGCTAGGGTTAGAAAACCCTAACTGAAACCCTAAATGTTTTGGGTTTCAGTTTGGTTTGGGTCGGAAAATTGGGCTTGTATTTTTTTATTATTATTTATATATATATTTAATATAATAATAATAATAATAATAATAATATTTATAATAATAATAATAATAATAATAAATAATTATAATAATAATTAATATGGGTAAAAAAATTAGTATCTTCAATACGCTTTACTAAAATATGCCTTAAACATCACAACTTCTTTCTTTCTTTTGGAAATGTCGTCAATGACCTTATTAGCAATAAGGATGCGGTCCGCAATTTGCTTACCCGAAATAAAGGCAAATTGATTCTCCCCAACACTTCTTGTAGATAACTGGCCATTCTTTTAGCTAAAACTAGGGACACGATTTTGTACAAGCTACCCACCAATGAAATTGGTATGTAGTCCTCCAAATAGGCAACCTCTCATTTCTTTGGGATTAGAGTGATATAAGATTTATTGAAAGATAGATCCTCAATTCTTCCCCAAAAGAAATCGACCATGAACTGCATAACATCAGCCTTAATGACCATCCAGAATTTTAAATCCAAGCTAAACCCATCAGGTCCCGGCGCTCTCAAACCATCGGACGAATTAACTACGAACCATACCTCTTCTTCTGAAAACAACCTCTCAATGAACCTTCTAGTGGCCATACATAATCTCTTGAGCGGAATATCCAATTTCTTAACTGGAATAGATCTCACATCATTATAATTAATCCGAAAGTGACTCTCAAAGGCATGTTGAATCCTTACTTGATGTTTTAAGACAGAATTTTAGCTTAGAAATCTGGTTTACCTTTGCTCTTTTTATAGCAGTTAGATGAAAAAACTTTGTGTTCCTATCCCCTTCCTTAAACCACCTGAGTCTAGACTTTTGAAGCCACTCTCTTTCTTCCTTCCTCAAAACTACCCACAATCACGCCTTCATTTCAGCAAGTTCGAACTGAACAGAAGCTAAACTGGGACTCGAGATGCACCTTTTTTCTAAGTCATTAATTAATTTTTCTAATTTTTCCGCAGAGTCAGAATTGGCTTCTCTGATAGATTTCTCCCTTTCTTTTGTCACATTCTTTGTTAGCAACAAGGACTGCATAATGCTTGCTCCTCTATTTGACTCCCTCACACGCTTCAAAAAAAAGTTATTGCTTGTTGCCTTGATTAAATTAAATTGGATTGTGAACTAGTACATGCTACCATGATCTAATTGAATTGGATTGTGAACTAGTACATGCTACCATGATCTAATTGAATTGGTTTGTCAATAAATGTATGTTGACATCACCGAATTGAATTATTGATTATTGCATGTTGCCATGATTGAATTGAATCAAGTTGTGAGTTAGTACATGCTGCCATGGTGGAATTCAATTGAATTGAAATCTTGGATGAAAAAAATAGACGATTGCTGCCATGATCAATTTGGAATTGAATATATAATCTTGACATGGAACAATTCTTAATGGCCATATTACGGAAATTTGGATGCTTGGTAAATAAAATTAAATGTCATTGGTTAATAGTTGGTCCAAGATATAAGGGCATGCCTTAGGGTCTAGAGCTCAATTGTGTATGGTCCAGCACTACGGTACTTATTGGCGATAGACGAAGGGTACATTATTTGGTCTTTGGAGACAGTAAGAGGGTTGATCAGTACTACGATGCAATTAAATTGTATGTCGACAATTGGTTGGAGACTTACTTATCTAGGCTGAACTAGAAACCAAGGCTTAAGTTAATTGGAAAAATTAAATAAGAAGTGTGCCTATATATGCATGAATTGTTCAAATCCAATTGCTATATAGATTTAATTGCTTAATTCAAAAAACTATGTAGATTGTGTGTTGCATATATGGTAATTTATGCCTTGATCGAATGGAAGAAAAATTGAAATGTTTAATTAGTTGATTATTAAATTAAATGTATATGATTGTGTACTCTCTTCATATTCGAAATTGAAGTTAGATAATGTAGATTGTTTAAATTGAATGCTATCCTATTAGATTATATAGTATTTACATGAAATCAAATTATTAGTTGATTGTGAAAGTCATAAAATGGTAAATAATCAAGAATTAAATGTTACCTCACTAAGTACTTTAAGTACTTATCATTCTTGTTCCTTTCTTTCCCAAACAAAAGGATCTAAAGTATTTTAAGCGCAACCTTCCAAAATGATTAACCTAAGGGAAGATTAAAAGTATGGCTTGTCTCGTTATCTTTATACTCCTAGTTGATGGCTTAGCTTTGAGTATACTGATTCAAATCTCATGCATATGGTGGGTAGTTAAGTTGTTTATGAAATGTACCTAAGAACTAAATTAAATGTTGTGGTCTAGGGAGTTAATGGACGCGTAATGTATATAATGTCAATGGCTATTTTGGTTGTATATAGCATGCAAGCATGATCTTTTGTGTAAGTCATGTAGGATCCCTTTTTGTATTGTGTATGTGTGTGTATATATATATATAAAAGATGAGCTAGGTATAAATGTCATATTATGTTATGTTCACTAAACTCTTATAGAGTGTATGTGGCTTAAATGCTAGTATGCAGTTTAATGTATTAAGAATGCAAATTAAATGAAATTATATGTGATAAATTGGGATTCATGGCTTAATCAAAATAATTGATAAGCAAATTGATTAAGATTTGATTAATGTGTATTTATGTGTATAAAAGGGTTGATTATGATTAATCTTGTATTAGAAAAAATGGCTCTTCAATTGTAATATTCGTTGCATATGTATGATTCAACGTTTAATGATCTTGTACTTGCTTATTGATCTCGATAATGCTCCCAATCCTTGAGTTATATTTGGGGGTGTTACAAGTAGAGGATGTCATCAGAATAAGATGTCTTCTTAGAAACATCGTGGGTTTGATGGAGAGTGGATTGGGGATAAAAATGGAATTTGTAAGCCATGTCCACCCCTATCAGATCCACGTCATGAGAAATAAGTCGATGGAGTCACATGAAGAGAATGTCTTCTTAGAAATGATTAGTTTCCCGAGCGATATGACGAGTGGCGGTGTGCCATTTGTCAGATCAGCATCTCAAGCAAGAAAAGTCGTAGAGGATACCACCAGAAGAGGATGCATTCGTAGAGTTTCCCAAAAAGGTTGGATTACTCATGTTTAATCGGCTTTACAAATATGCCATATAAAAGACAAGTTGCAGAGGAAGCCACCCGAAGAGAATGTCTTTTATAAACATTGTTGGTTTGACGAAGAAGACACAATTTATGAAGCAAACATTTTGTCAAGAATGTCATATCTTTTATAAAACGCATTCTCTTCGGGTGGTATAACTTATAGCACCAATATTGATATAAATTTAGTACCAAGTAGTGCCACCAGAAGAAAAACCTCTTATAAGCATAGACCGTGTTAAAATTTACAATATTAATGGACTAGGGGATATTTATTTATCACATTGTGCAAAACACGAGTTACTGAGGGATTCCTGACGTGACAGAGATTCCTGACGTGACAAAGATTCCTGACGTGGAAGCAACATTTGGTTTGGCATGGCAAGTCTCGCATTATAAGAAGCGAGAAAATATGTCTATAAAAACAAGACCGGTGCCCATTTTGGATAAAATGCCTTCGTAAAACAAATATTAATGTCGAGATTTTATGCAATTGTGTTCCATTCCGAAACTTATTTCTACACTTCCATCAATGCCAATATTAAAAAAGATGAGTTGTACGATTTGATTTCAACATAGCTTAAAAAATCTACAACACAACATATGTCTTCGTTGCAAGCTAAAGTTCCCGTGGAAAATACGGGTACTGAAGCACATTATATGTTGACCTTATCGAATACAAGCGACCTTCGAATGATGTTTAAGACTTACACACGTGTTGGTGGTAGGAACATTGAGTTGACTGTAACATTTGAGGAAGAACTATATTCAAAAGGCAACGAAGGAGTAACTCGGTTATCAAAAGACTCTGAGGACGAAGAGTCATTTTTGCTACGTACTGCCCGTGAACGTCGGGAAAGAGAGCGATAAACGACTCGTGTAGTTTGTTTTTTTTATTAATTTTGGATTTTACAAAGAGGAGGAAAAGAATGAACCTGAATTTGCGAAGAAGCTTGCCTCGTTAGCTGATCTGTTTGTCAATGATGCATTTGGGACTGGACACAGAGCCCATGCATCAACAGAGGGTGTCACAAAATTCTTGAAGCCATCAGTTGCTGGTTTCCTTTTACAGAAGGTAAAATATGGCATTCGAACTTGGTTAGCTTTCAATTGCTGCATTCAAATAGACATGTTTTCGAGTAAATTCATCATTGGTTTGATTCTGACACTGCGTTTAATCTACTATAAAGTTTTTTTTCTTTATTATTATTGTTCTTGTTACCTTTTAATGTTTTAGGTTCCCCTTGTATTCATTTGCTTCCTATCTTATTACAGGAGCTGGACTACCTTGTTGGTGCAGTTTCAAGCCCCAAAAGGCCATTCGCTGCCATTGTGGGTGGTTCAAAGGTCTCTTCCAAGATTGGAGTCATTGAATCACTCCTTGAGAAATGTGACATTCTCCTTCTTGGTGGTGGTATGATTTTCACATTTTACAAGGCACAAGGCCTATCAGTTGGTTCATCCCTGGTAGAGGAAGATAAGCTTGACCTTTCAACATTACTCCTTGCAAACGCAAAGGTGAAGGAAGTGTCTCTTTTGTTACCTACTGATGTGGTTATTGCAGACAAGTTCGCCCCTGATGCAAACAGCAAGGTCTGTTTCTGCTTTCTACCTCGTCCCTGTCCCCGTAAAGTTCTCAGAGCAATATGTGCTAAAGAAAGCCAAATCGCAGTAACATGGAGCTATTATTGGAAATAAACTGCTCTTATATTGCTTTTATTCTCGTCTTAGGAAGATTGAAAACAAATTTTGTTTCTTGCAGATTGTGCCAGCTTCTGCTATTTCTGATGGCTGGATTGGATTGGATATTCGACCTGATTCCATTAAGACATTCAATGACGCTTTGGATACTACACAAACCATCATCTGGAATGGACCGATGGGAGTGTTTGAATTTGACAAGTTTGCAGTCGGGACCGAGGTATGCTTGAATTTCCTGACTACGGGGTTTAGCTCTTGATGATATCGCTGCATACACAGAATTAAATTATCCCTTCTACTAGTTGGATATAGTTTTAAGCTCGTAGCCACTTGATTTCGTGGCCAAACTAGCTAAAGCAAGCCTTTCTCCTGTTACGTTTATAAATTCTATTTACTAATCCGTATAGAATTTGTAATTTAGGATGTATGCTTTGAAGTTGCCTACCTTTAACTAGTATGCTATGAATCTGTTATGTATGGCTCATAAAAAGTCTCGTTGTGGGGTTACGAATTATGAGGGTTGGGGGTGTGGGGGCGCAGCCCCCGCGGTACGGTACAGGGTTGATTTTGTAATTATGTACCAGGGTTTTCTATTATAAATAGAGATGTAACCTAGACCTAAAATATCATTGAATAAAACTTCTAGCGCCGCCTAGGCACCGAGGACGTAAGCACATTGCCGAACCTCGTAAAATTCTCGTGTTCTTTCGTTTTCTTTACCCGTTTTCGTCAACAATTGGTATCAGATGTCAGGAGCAAAATTCGAAGTCGCGAAATTCGATGGTCAGGGTAACTTCGGATTATGGCAAACGAGGGTGAAGGATCTATTGGCGCAGCAAGGGATCTTGAAGGCTTTGCGACCTACAAAGCCGGCGTCGATGGATGAGGAAGATTGGGAAGAATTGCAGCAGCGAGCGGCAGGAACCATAAGATTATGCTTGGCGGACGAGGTCATGTATCACGTCATGCATCTATCGTCTCCAGACGAAATTTGGAGGAAGTTGGAAAGTCAGTTTATGTCCAAATCCTTAACGACAAAACTGTATCTGAAGCAGCGGCTGTATGGGCTGAAGATGCAGGACGATCACGATTTGGCGCAACACGTGAATGTCTTCAATCAAATCGTTTCTGATCTGGCTCGGCTTGATGTGAAAATTGAAGATGAAGACAGAGCGATGATTCTGTTGTGTTCGTTGCCTTCCTCTTACGAACACATGGTGACTACTCTTACATATGGGAAAGAGACTATCAACGTTGAGGAGATTACTGCAGCCTTGTTGGCTCACAACCAGCGGAAGCAGAATGCAGGGGAAAGCTCTCAAGCCGATAGCTTATATGTCAAGGGTAATCGAGATCGTGGACGGAAGCCAGAGAAGGCAGGGTCCGGGAAGCGGAATTCCAGATCCAAATCCAGGGATAAGAAGACGATTCACTGTTACAAGTGCAAGGAGGCGGGACATATGAAGCGAGACTGTCCGAAGTTGAAAAAGCAGACCGATGAGAAGCGTGATGGCTCATCCAAGTCTGTGAACGTGGTCGAGGATGATACTTCTGATTGCAGTGAGGGTGATATGCTTTCTATTTCAACGACACAATTGACGGATGCTTGGATTCTTGATTCTGGATGTTCTTATCACATCACGCCAAATAGGGAATGGTTTTCGACATACAGGCCGGTTAATTCTGGTTCGGTTTATTTGGGTGATGATCGATGTTGCAATATTGTTGGTATTGGTGATGTCAGAATTAAGATGCACGATGGCTCCGTTCGGACGTTGAGTGGTGTTCGACATATCCCAGACTTGAAGAAGAATTTGATTTCCTTGGGCACTTTGCACAAGAATGGTTTTATCCCTAAGGCTGACAAGGATAGGGAAACCATTCGGATTGTTAAAGGAGCATTGACTGTGATGAAAGGCAAGATGACTGCAGGGAATATCTACAGATTGTTAGGGAGTACCGTTGCAGGTGGAGTTCACTCTGTTGAGTCCTGTGATGATACGACAAAATTGTGGCATATGCGCCTTGCTCATCTTAGTGAACGTGGTATGGCAGAATTACACAAGAGAAACTTGTTGCATGGTGTCAAAAGCTGTAAGCTCGACTTTTGCAAGTATTGTGTTCTTGGTAAACAGACTAAAGTCCGTTTCAAGACTGCGAAGCACACAACTCAAGGGATTCTTGATTATGTGCATTCTGATGTATGGGGGCCTTCCACGACATCGTCTTTGGGTGGATCTAGGTACTATGTTACTTTTATTGATGATTTTTCACGGAAAGTTTGGGTGTATTTTTTGAAACAGAAATCTGAAGTTTTTGAGAAGTTCAAGCTGTGGAAAGCTGAGGTAGAAAACCAAACAGGACGAAAAATCAAGTGTTTGCGGTCTGACAATGGTACGGAGTACACAGATTCACAGTTCCTACAATTCTGTAAGGAGCATGGGATTCAGAGGCATTTTACAGTGCGCAAGACACCACAACAGAATGGTGTTGCGGAACGAATGAACAGGTCGTTGAATGAAAGAGCCAGATGTTTGCGGTTGAATGCGGGGCTTCCCAAACACTTCTGGGCTGAGGCTGTTAACATGGCGTGTTACCTTATCAACAGATCGCCAAGGGCATCGCTGGCTGGGAAAGTTGCAGAAGAGGTATGGACTGGTCATGATGTTAGTTTTGATAACTTACGGATTTTTGGTTGTCCTGCTTATGTGCATGTACCTGCTGATGAGAGATCCAAACTTGATGCAAAATCGAAGGAGTGTATTTTTCTGGGTTACAAGAAAGGTGTCAAAGGATTCAAGTTCTGGGATCCAGTTGCGAAGAAAGTTGTGATTAGTAGAGATGTCGTTTTTGATGAACAGTCTATGTTGCAGCAGAAGCAAGACACGACAGTGGTAGATTTCGAGCAGTTTCCAGTTGAGAAACCAGAAACTTCTCAACCGACTTCTGGTGGTTCCACTACGGATGATTTGCAGGATTATAGTCTCGCCAGAGACAGGGTGAGACGGACGAATATAAAGCCTCCGAACAGATTGGGTTTTGAAGACTTGGTATCTTTTGCACTTACTGTTAGCAGTGATGATCCAGTTACTTTTCATGATGCCGTTACTAGTCAGGAAAACGACAAGTGGATGGCAGCCATGGTTGAGGAGATGGAGTCTTTGAATCACAATCGCACATGGGAGTTAGTTCCCCTTCCTGAGGGTAAGAAGCCGATTGGTTGCAAATGGGTGTATAAGAAGAAACCAGCAGTAACAGAAAAAGAGGGGGAGAAGTTCAAGGCTCGTTTGGTAGCGAAGGGTTTTTCACAGCAGAAAGGAGTTGATTATGATGAAATCTTTTCTCCTGTGGTCAGGCACACTTCAATCCGAGCAGTACTTGCATTGGTGGCTAGTTGGGATTTGCATTTAGAGCAGATGGATGTTAAAACTGCTTTTTTGCATGGTGATTTAGAGGAGCAGATCTACATGCGGCAACCTGAAGGTTTCACTCAACCTGGAAACGAACATTTAGTTTGCAGATTGAAGAAATCTTTGTACGGGTTAAAACAGTCTCCGAGACAGTGGTATAAACGGTTTGACTCCTATATGATCAAGATTGGCTACAACAGATGTGAGTATGATTGTTGTGTCTATGTTAAGAGCCTTGATGATGGTTCTTTTATTTTTCTATTACTGTATGTTGATGATATGTTGATTGCTGCGAAGAACATGGATGATGTTATCGGTTTGAAAACTTTATTGAGTCAGGAATTTGATATGAAAGATTTAGGTGCTGCAAAGAAAATTCTTGGAATGGAAATTTGCAGGGACAGAGACTCAAGGAAACTGCGGCTATCTCAACGGGGTTATGTTGAGAAAATGCTAGAAAGGTTTGCGATGAGCAGCGCAAAACCAGTTAGCACTCCATTGGCGAATCACTTTAAGCTCTCATCAGAACAGTGCCCCAAGACAGATAAGGAAGCTGAAGATATGGCAAAGGTTCCGTATTCTAATGCTGTTGGCTGCTTGATGTATGCGATGGTATGTACTCGTCCTGATTTAGCTCATGCTGTTAGTCAAGTTTGTAAGTACATGTCTAAACCTGGTAAGCAACATTGGGAAGCAGTCAAGTGGATCTTTCGGTACTTAAAGGGTACTGTGGGACATGGAATTGTTTTTGGGAGTCAGCGGGATAACCCTTTGGTTGTAGGATATGTGGATTCAGATTATGCAGGTGACTTGGATAATAGAAGATCTACGACAGGGTATGTGTTTACTCTTGGTGGAGGGCCTATTTGCTGGAAGTCTACTGTTCAATCTGTCGTGGCACTATCTACAACTGAAGCTGAATACATGGCAGCGGCTGAAGCTGCAAAAGAAGCTTTATGGCTTACTGGTTTAGTGAAGGAGTTGGGTGTTCAACAAGGTGGAGTTCAGTTGCTTTGTGATAATCAAAGTGCTATTCACTTGGCTAAGAATCAGGTGTATCGTACTAGAACTAAACATATTGATGTAAGGTTCCACAAGATCAGAGAGTTGGTTGCATCTGGAGAGGTTTTGTTTCAGAAGGTACATACTGATGAGAATGCCGCTGATATGTTCACCAAGCCAGTTACGACAGACAAGTTCAAGCATTGCTTGGACTTGTTGAATGTTTCGAATTGTTAAAGAAGCAAGGTAACCCAACCCACATTGAAGTTTCCAAGGGGCAGGATATTCGCCAAGGTGGAGATTTGTTATGTATGGCTCATAAAAAGTCTCGTTGTGGGGTTACGAATTATGAGGGTTGGGGGTGTGGGGGCGCAGCCCCCGCGGTACGGTACAGGGTTGATTTTGTAATTATGTACCAGGGTTTTCTATTATAAATAGAGATGTAACCTAGACCTAAAATATCATTGAATAAAACTTCTAGCGCCGCCTAGGCACCGAGGACGTAAGCACATTGCCGAACCTCGTAAAATTCTCGTGTTCTTTCGTTTTCTTTACCCGTTTTCGTCAACAGAATCCCTCGGCCAGCAGGGGAGTGTCAAATTTTCAAGATGACTGCTTTTATTTTATGTATTCTATTTTTGCATAAGTGAATTGGAATTAAGACTGCTCTCTACTTGCAGGCTATTACAAAGAAGCTAGCAGAACTCAGTGGCAAGGGAGTGACAACAATCATAGGAGGCGGAGACTCCGTCGCTGCTGTAGAAAAGGTCGGAGTTGCTAATGTCATGAGCCACATATCAACAGGCGGTGGTGCCAGTTTAGAATTGTTGGAAGGGAAGGAGCTTCCGGGTGTGATTGCCCTGGATGAGGCTACCCCGGTTGCCGTTTAAGATCAAATCCAATTTTCGGTAATTTATCCGGTTTTGTAACCGAGAAATAAAACGTTCTACGATGAAATGAGTTCTTGTTGTAAATGTACACCTTAAATCGCTAGAAGGACCCATTTCTGTCTCTCTCCCTTTCTTACTTCTTCCTAAAAGGTTGCCAGAACAGTGTTGGTTCTGAATAAATTGCCTTATTTCTCAAAACCTTGCATTATTCTTTACATTTGTTCGTGCCTTTCAATAAAGTTGTTGGTTTTTTTTCCCTCTAGTTCTAAGGTTTCTCCTTGATTAATCTGGACCGATTTAGGTCGCACACTTGACTTTAGTGGGTTAATTTAACTGTGGAGAGGGATAGAAAATCCAAAATCTGATCAGAAATCTGTCGTTCGTAACGAAAACAACATAAAAATTGAGAGGCCTTTACTGCTTCTAGGCATCAACTTCACGTTGTGTGTGCTGCAGAGATCATGAGAAGTCCAACCCCATGAAATCTGTGTTTGTGGCCATCGTCCTCGGGTTATCATTATCCACCAAACTATCACTCATTTCAATTTGTGGGTATTATTCCAACAAAAAGATTTCTTTTTCGTTATTTTTTTAAAAGAAAATAACCTACTTTTAAACCTACCCGATTGACCTATATATAAAATGATGGATAATTTAACACTTGTAATGATTAATATCTGTTAATACAGTTGAAAGTTAACCCCACTAATTGGAGATAAAAAGAAAAACATGACCTATTAAGGGTTTTTTTTATAAATAATTTTTAGTAGAAATGAAATATTTCTTTATCTCATAATTTTTTGGCGTGCAATGTATGTTCCAATCGTTCTATCACAACACACAAAAAAGAGTCCAGAAAGGAGGTTGATAATACGTGTGATTTGAATCTCTATCAATAATTAAATATTTTGAGCCATTAACCGAAATTTGTTTATTGCTCGATTTACAGGCTATCATTTTAATGAGTCGATTTTCCTAACATTAGAGAGAAAAAAATAAGCAATTAGAAAAAATAAGATGAAATGTATTATCGTTATCTCATTATGACCAACATACACAATAATATAAAATTGAAATTCAAAGGATAATTTATTTCTAGAGTTTGACAAATCACACACACACACATATATATATATATTTGAAATGGGAAATAATAAACTTGTTAAGATAACAAATGTTAGTTAGTTTGTTAGGAGTTAGTTGATAGGCTGTTAGGAGTAAGTTAGAAGCAGTTGGATTTCAGTTCTTATGTAAATACCTGAACAATGTATTATAAATTGAAGGCTAGTTGGATAATAAAATATAAGAGGCATTATTTTAAACATGGTATCAGTTTCCAGGCCTTTCCTTGTTGGGTTTCTCTGCTTGGCCCATCTCTAAACCGAGTAGTGTGGCTCGGTCTCGTTCCCGCAGCAGTACTCCTCTCCATCATTTTCCCCAAATCAATTTCCTAGGGTTTTCGTTTGACGATCTCCACTGCAAATGCCTCCGATGAATGAATCAACCATGGTTGATTTCAATCATCCTCTTTTCTTGCATCCATAAGATACTCCAGGCACTCCTCTAATTTCTTATCAGTTAGTCGGATTGGAGAACTACAACGTTTGGAGCAAATCAATGCGAATCGCGCTGTTAGCGAAAAACAAGCTAGGCTTCGTTGATAGTGCTTGCCAGAAAGAAAATTACGATCCTGACTTGCATCCTCAGTGGGAGAGGTGTAATGCCATCGTTCTTTCATGGATTCTTAACGCTATGAGTAAGGAGCTCTCAGCTGGCATAGTTTTCGCCTCAAATGCGGCTTTGGTTTGGAACGATTTGAAGGAACGTTTTGACAAAGTAAATGGCTCCAGAATCTTTTTCCTCCATCGTGAAATAGCTACCATTTCATAAGGTGAGTTGAGTGTCTAGACTTACTTCAATAGATTGAAGATGTTGTGCGATGAATATGTTACACTTGTGCCGATTTCATCATGTGAGTGTGCAAGTTCGCAGCAGAATTCCAGACATTTTGCTCAGCAGCAACTTCTTCAATTTTTGATGGGCTTAAACGAGACCTATTCGGCGGTTCGAAGTCAAATACTACTGATGCAGCCTCTTCCTTCGATAAACCAGGCATACTCCATGATTGCTCAAGAGGAGTCTCAGCGAGTTCAGCTCTCTACTATGTCTTCAAATCTTGATTCGTTGATGTTTTACTCCAAAAGCTCTAGGGTTCCTGATCATCACCGTTTTCAAGGTGTATGTGACTATTGCAAGATCAAGGGTCATAAAAGAGATAGTTATTATCGTCTTATAGGGTTTCACCCGATTTCAAGTTCTCTAAATGAAAGAATGCTCAAGCTACAGTAGTGGTCTCTGAACCTGTTGCTGCCTCTGACCCTGCTGCTGCTGGTGCTCCTGACAGATTAAATTTCTTGGTTCCTATAGTACCTACCTTCACTTAGGAGCAGTACAACCAGATTCTCAGCCTTTTATCTTCTGCTGCTTCAGTTGATTCGGATGTGAATCTTGTAGGTATTGTTGATAGTTGTTTACATGCTTCTTGTAAGTCACTAACTTTGATTTTAGATACAGGTGCTACAGATCATATATTATCTGATTTTCAATGCTTGCAATCCCCTGTCTTATGTTCCTCATGGTCCATTCAATTATCAAATGGTAAAACTGTCCCAATTACATATGTTGGTTCATGTTTCCTAAATTCAACCACAACTTTGTCCAATGTATTATATGTACCAAATTTCACTCACAATTTACTTTCCATCTCAAAGCTTACCCGTGACCTTCACTGTTTTGTAAGTTTTTATCCTGACTTTTGTATTCTGCAGGACATCTCAAGTGGAAGGATGAAGGGGATTGGTAAAGAGTATAGAGGACTTTATTTTTTTCAGTCATCAGTTTCACCTATTGGTTTGTCATCTACACATACCTCTTCAAATGTGCAGTCTTCTAGTGTTTCCTCTAGTATGTCATGTGATTCAAAATTGTTTGATTGTGATCATGTATCTGAATGTATGACTGTTGTTTCTAGTAATAATACAAGCACTCTCGTTTGGGACATACTGCTATTTCGACCATGAACAAACTACCATTGTTACATTCTGTTAACTTGGATTCCAAGTTATTACACTCTTGTCCTATATGTCCGTTGCAAAACAAACTAGACTCCCATTCTCTGTTAGCCTCACTTCTTCACAAGCTCCTTTTAGTCTCATTCATATAGATTTATGGGGTCCCTATCGAATTGCTACACATAGTGGTCATATGTACTTTTTAACTATAGTTGATGACTTTACTCGTATGACTTGGGTGCACTTGTTGAGATTGAAGAGTGACATTGTTATCTCTCTTAAAAAATTCATCACTTTTGTTAAAACTCAATTTTCAGCTATTGTTCAAATCATTCGCAGTGACAATGGCACTGAATTTTTTAATTCTCATTGTTCTAAATTTTTTAGCTCACTTGGAATTCTTCATCAAAGCTCATACGTTCAGACTCCCCAACAAAACGGGGTTGCAGAACGCACACATAGACATATTCTCGAAGTTGCAAGGGCACTTCGGTTTCACTCAAAAGTTCCTATTAAGTTTTAGGGAGAATGTATTACTACAACTTGCTATATAATAAATCGCTTACCTTCTTCTGTTTTGAATTTCAAAACTCCTTTTGAAGCCCTTCACCATAGAATTCCTGATCTTTCTCATTTAAGGGTATTTGGGTGTCTATGTTATGCTACCAAGCTTAACTACCTTGACAAGTTCTCTCCTAAGGCTATTCCTTGTGTTTTCATGGGATATTCTTCAACTCAAAAGGGGTACATTCTATTTAGTCTTCAGTCAAAGCAGTTTCTTGTGAGTACAAATGTTGTGTTTCATGAAGTTATCTTTCCCTTTCATTTTCCTGTTTCAAAATCTTCTCCTTTTTTTCCTTAACATTATCATATTCCTGATTCTGATTTTTTAATCCTTGATTCTTCAGTACCAACTAATACATCTCATGTTGATAATTCTTCAAGTTCTTCATAAGAAATTCCTACTATGTCACCTATTCCCTCCATATCTCCATCTGATTCCTCAACAGGTGCATCTGGTAGTCCATCTGATTTCTCAACAAGTCCTTCTCAAGCCGGTATTCCTCCTTTAGCACATGATTCTTTTGTGTCTAGACGTTCCTCTCGTGTCTCCAAGCCTCTAAATTGGTTAAAAGATTATGTCTGCACTTGCCAATCCACTTCACCCTCTACTACTTACCCCATTTTTAATTACATTTCTTACTCTCATTTACCTTCACCCACTCAACACTTTTTATCTTCTATTTCTCATTTTCATGGACCCACCACTTATCACGAAGCTTGTCAAAATCCGCAATGGCAGCAGGCCATGAGAGAAGAGATTCAAGCATTGGAATTAAATAATACTTGGACTGTAGTACCTTTGCCTTCTGGTAAAGTTCTCATTGGCTGCAAGTGGGTTTATAAAATTAAGCATCATGCTTCGGGTGAGGTGGAAAGATTCAAGGCTCAGTTGGTGGCCAAAGGGTACAATCAAAAGAATGGTGTTGACTATGAGGAGACTTTTTCTCCTGTTGCTAAACTCATCACTGTGAGACTGATTTTGGCCCTTACTTCCATCTTTGACTGGTTGTTGTGGCAAATGGATGTTCACAATGCGTTCTTGCAAGGATATTTGGTTAAAGAAGTCTACATGCAGTTGCCAGAAGGCTTTTCCAGCAAGGGGGAGCATATGTTTTGTCGGCTGTAAAAGTCTCTATATGAACTCAAGCAAGCTTCTAGACAGTGGAACAAGAAGCTGTCTGAAGCACTTATATCAGCAGGATTTCAATAAAGTAAGCATGATTATTCATTGTTTACAAGGTGAGTAGCAGATAAGTTGGTCATTGTGCTGGTTTATGTAGATGATTTGCTAATTGCTGGCAGTAATACTGATATGATAGAAGAGCTCAAATGTATAATGAGTTCTAAGTTCAAGATGAAAGACTTGGGTGAATTAAGATACTTCCTTGGACTTGAAGTGTTGAGGTCAGAGAAGGGGATCATATTAAATCAGCGTAAATATGCTCTAGAATTAATAAAAGATAGTATGACAGAGGGAGCAAGGCCTGC